TAATTTACTCTGTAAAAATAATCAGCTTGTAAAGTGGAATTGCTGAAGAGAGCCACAGGGTGATGCCTCCTTTGCAGTGCTTGAATTCGGACACAGGCACAGAAATAAGGCTTTGACTGAGTCAGATATGCCGAATAGTCTCTTTAGAAGTAAAAATTATGCCAAATTATTGTTTTTAAGTTGAATTAGGCTATTTAGTTTTTCCCTCAACAGTTCAACGTTTCTTTGATTCTCAATGTCCATAGTGTTAAGAGGCTACACCGGTTGCATTAGTTCAGTGGTCCCATAATGTAGTGGTTTACACATTTACTTAACAAACGAAAGCTATCTGGAACAGTCCCGGGAGCAGACATAAATCCTCCCAGAGGAGGCTGGTAAAGTTAAAGTTCAAGATCAAATGTGTGGAGAAGCCTGCTATACTGATCCCTTGTGAAAGAGCTGAAAGTAGCCAGTCTTAATAATTCAAGGTTTCTTTGTTTCCCAATGACCATTGTGTCAGGCAGTGATGGTGTGATGGTACAGTACATCCATCCATCCATTCGCTTCCGCTTATCCTTTTCAGGGTCGCGGGGGGCGCTGGAGCCTATCCCAGCTGTCATAGGGCGAGAGGCAGTATACACCCTGGACAGGTCCAGGAATGGACAACCATTCGCACTCACATTCATTCGAGCATTCACACCTAGTGACAATTTGGATTATCCAATTAACCTATCCCCACAAACTGCATGTCTTTGGATGGTGGGAGGAAGCCGGAGTACCCGGAGGGAACCCACGTACAGTACAGTCAGATAAATTACCACTACTTTTCTGATAGGGATAAAAGTCTCTTTTCTATGCTGAAACTTCACTAGATTATTATGCTCTTGAGTGACTAAAATCTGCAACATTTAAGATCCCATTCACATATATTACCCACTACACCTCTGGCTAGTTTACTACTTACTCAAGGACAAGAAAAGCCCATTAAGTGTAAGTGCAGCAGGTGGTCCATGAAGATCCCTACAGGCTGTCTCTGGGGGAAGAGTAAGCCTGAGAGAGAAAAAGAGCAGGTGGCACAAGGCTTAACCTGAGCTAAAACTCATCCAATGAGCTCATCTCCACAGGCTTAGCCAGCTTCCAAGTTGTCTGCTTTCTGCCAGGACAGCCAGATCTGGGTACTCTGGTCCAGTCCGTCGAGTCAGCCACCAGCCCTCTGCTAATCTGTCTGAGCACTACCGTTGGGCCATATGTTTACCATCTTACCAACAAAGTAACATATGCACTGTCTTGTTTGCTTGCAAAAAGATGCTGTCTATAAAGGATTTAAGATGTAGTGTAGACATCACTCTTTATTTCTCTGTATGTGATGACTACCACAGGCGTGACAGCTACAGGTAAACAGATTCAGCCCTGTCGTGCAATATAATCCCACCACATCCACTGTGAGGATGTGACCTTATCTCACAATATCCCCTCCATTCATGTCAAGGCAGCCCAGGTAAGCCCACAGGTAAAAAAACAGATCCCAACAATCCCACTGTCTCGATAACAAGTGTGTAGCGTAAGCTCCACTAATCCTTTGTTGTGAACGTGTACAAGTGAACCTGACATAACCTCAAAGACGCCACACATCAGCACTCTCAGATATAATAAACTATGTACTGTGGTATTCAGGAGTGAAATCAACACACTGAGTCAAGCTGAAGAGGAAACATTTTTTTCTAGCTGAGGTTTGGTTGAGCCTTATTATAGTGGCTGTGTCAGCACCATATCTACCTTCCTGGTGTTATGCACTAATCCCCTGAGTCCAAGCCAATTTTAATGATGTCATGCCAGACTGGTGCTGATGTTGTCCTTAAGCTGTGATTAAATTACTTACGTTAAGACAAACAAGTGATATACCAGCGTCGTGGATAATGAGTTTCTAGCAAATTCCCTCAACAGCATGAAAAAACACTAATCATACCCTTTATTGAATATAACATTCTTCACAAACACTTCTCACTGTTTTACTGTGGTGAGTCATCTGTTGCTACTGTTAATTTTCTTGTCTTGGTTAAGAGAAGCTTCCCACCACCAGCAGGCCTACAAATGCCTCAATCAGCCTACACTACGTGAGGAGACACCTCAGCAGGTTCCCAGTCACGATGTTCATTATCGTTTGCACTACCGTCATCACCACTGCACAATCTACTAAATGATCTCGAAGAGGGACCTGCTCAAATGTGAGGCGTAATGGTGAAAATGGTCCTCAAGGGACTTGCACACGCAATGTGTCCTTCTCATATGAAAGGTCACATGGTAGCAACCTCATTAAATACTATGCTCATTGGGAAAAAGGCCACCTGGTCTATGACGGCAAACCAAGTCCAGTTTCTTTTTCTATTCCACTGCCAGAATAAATGAATAGAAAAATCAAGTTTTGGTTGTAGTTTATGAAATATGCCTAAAACTCCTTGCTATGGGGAACAGCTATGGCCATGATAGCCAATCTACATTCTGTTCACTCTGAGTCATTCTCGTCATGGTTTACTCTAATGGAAAACACAATTAGTGTAATAGCTCCATTCAAAGCTGCTTATTTGTCAAATAAGTTGGAAAGTAATGTCAAACAAGTTGGTGGAAAACTGAAACAAGACCACAGTGGAAACAAATAGAACCAAGCATGAGGCTGCCGGTACTGGCTGTTTTCATATTAAAGCCAGATGTGTTGTTTTGTCAGACCAACAGTAAAAGCCAAAGAAATTCAAATTATAGAAACAACAAAACAGAAAAAGACTTTCCAATTAAACTGTTTGTCAAATTGCATCATGGTTAATGTAGGCGCTAAGTTAGCAAGATAAAAGTATTAGTGGAATAAAAATAGGCATAAGCATTTGTCCATTGTCCATTTGTCTGACACTACAGAAGAAGTGCACT